CCAGCCTACATCTAGAAATTCGGGGAAAGTTACGAGACTGAGAGGAGTAAGCTATTTAAGTTCATAGATCTTAAGTCTAGATTAAGGAAGGATCTAGATATGGTTCTCACTTTAGATGATTTTCAAAGACTCCAGAGCATGACGGCCCATAACTCACAGAGGGTTAGGGATCTGATAATTAAGCGGCATGACAATAAATTGCTATTCTATGGGATAATAAGACAGAGCAGGACTAAGCCAAACGGGCAAATTTTTATGGTTCTTTATTGAAGGCATCAACTGCCAAAGGCGACGATAGGACAAAGGCAATAAACCTATCTTCAATCCCTCTGGATTCTGAAACTACAGATCTGTTAAAGAAGGGGCTACATTTTTCACTAAGCAATGATGGTAACGTTCTTAGTGATATTCTAGTGGAAGTTGTCAACATAACGGATAAATATCCAGAAGATACAAGGCAGGAGATGGAACTAAAAATAATACCACGGATCCTGACACATAAAGAACATATAAAATGGAGCAGATTGGCTGGTATTCGGAAAAAATTACAAATGAATGATCAAATACTTCCTCAGGCGGATAAGGGAGGAGCGACGGTTTTAATGGACAGGAAACAGTACACGGAGAAAATGGAAAGTAGCCTTGGCGATCGGAACACTTATCAAATACTAAGGAAGGATCCAACCACGAAGATCAACGGGAAACTGAAGAATATGCTCAAAGAAATGCCTGCAAATTGGGAAATTGACAGGTGGATGATGAAATCTTTAATTAAAAATGACGCAAGACCACCGACAGCCTACGGACTACCGAAGATACACAAGGAATGGAATCCTCTAAGATTAATAGTCAACAACAAGCATGGAGCAATGCACAAACTAGCGAAATTCATTTGCTTGAAGCTCAAGAAAGTAAATGACAGACTCTCGAATACAGTCAAGAATTCTTATGAATTTTCTCAAAGGATCGGGAACATTGGATTTGTGGGTACGGAACTGTTGGTGAGTTTCGATGTACCATCCATGTACACAAACATCTCAGGCAAGAAGGCGGTAAGCGCCTTGCTGGAGATATTGAAGCAAGAAGAGAACATCCTAGAGGCAGAACGGATACGGAAATAATCGTTAACACGACTGATCAACCTGACAGTAAGGACGACATATTTTACATTTAACGGCAGTATCTACGAGCAAATATTTAGGCTACCAATGGGATCTCCACTCTCACCCCTTTTGGCAAATGTGTACATGGACAAGTTGGAAAGAAAATTTGTTAAGTCACCACTGCAACCAAGAGTGCTTATGCGATATTTGGATGACTACTTTGCACTTTGGTCACATGGTA